ACTCTTCCGGCGACTACTCGTTCTCCGACTACATCGTTCAGCATGTTTCTCCCTCGCCCCGCCGTACTCGGTGCACTCTCCTTGTTCGTCGGCCTCGGACTTGCCCAGAGCACCTCTACTGCTACCTCGACTTCTTCTTCTGCTACAGCTACCGCAACCAGCACCACCAGCGCTGCGACTTCCACTGTCACTGCTGCAACTTCCACTGTCACTGCTGCAGCTACCACTGTCACCCCAGTTCTCTCTCAGCTTACGCTCGCCAGCGACTTTGTGATTACCAATGTCCCGGCCACGCGTACCTACGACTGGGTCGTGTCGACCATAACGGGCGCTCCGGATGGCTACTACCGCCCCATGCTCGTCGTTAACGGTACGTTACTGCTGTCCTCCATCATTCTCATTCGCTAGTACTCACTTTCAGCTGCATTTGTGTTCTACAGGGCAGTATCCCGGACCGACTATTGAGGCAAACGACGGCGATACTATCATTGTCAATGTCCAGAACGACATGTCACTCGGCACGACTATCCACTGGCACGGACTCTACCAGCAAGGCACCCCATGGATGGACGGACCGGCTGGTGTCACTCAATGTCCTATCCCGGCTGGCTCGAGCTTCACGTATCAGTTCACCATTAACGGACAGTATGGAACGTACTGGTGGCAGTGAGTACACATCCAAAAATCTCTTGTGTTTCAGTTCTGATTCTGGGATGCTTGCAGCGCACATGCTTCGACTCAGCTCGCGGATGGTATTCACGGAGTGAGTAAACACATAGCATACATCCAGAGTTTCCGCTGACGGTGTTTTTCAGCCTTTGATCATTCACTCCCCCGACGACCCGCTCAAGCGCGGTGTCGATTACGACGAGGACCAGATCCTAGTCGTCGCCGACTGGTATCACGATACCTCTGCCGTCATCACCGAGGCGCTCCTGTCTTCTGCCGGCTACAAGGGCGTGAGTACTTCTCCATTTATCCGCCTGTATGCACCGTACTAAATGGCCCCTTGTGATTGCAGAGTATTGCTGCGCCGTCGCCCAACTCTGCTATGTTCAATGGTCACGGCACCTGGGACTGCGCGACCTACGGCAACAGCAGCACTTGTTTCACCCAGACCCCGCTCGAGATCCAGGTTGTTCCCAACAAGAAGTACCGCTTCCGTCTCATCAACTCTGCGTCTCATGGTACGCATTCGATCATCATTTGCACATGAGAGCTCCTATTGACATTCCTGCGCAGCCATGTTCTGGTACTCCATCGACGGCCACACCCTCAACGTCACCGAGGCTGACGACACCGGCATCTACAGCGAAGCTAACAGCGCTCTTCACCGTCTCAAGTTCCACAACGGCCAGCGTTATTCCGTCATCGTTGATACCTCCGTCGGGTCCGTTGGTGATGCCTACTGGATGCGTGCTGAGATGAACACTGCCTGTCTCACCACCCTCCCTGACGATTTCGCGAACACCACGTTTGCGATCATTCGCTACGTTGACGAGGTTGGGTCTTCTACTGCTACCACCAACGAGCCGACGACCTCGGACTGGACGGATGTTATGACTACGTGCACTGACCTCGATACCTCTTCGCTCGTGCCGATCATTGTCAAGGACGCGCCGACGTCCGTCGCTCAGCGCGGGATCTTCGATACTGCGTTCAGTCTGGCGATCGTCAATGGCGAGCTTGATGCTGGGTTCGCTGTCAACGGTACCAAGTTCAAGGACCTTGTCTACCAGCCTGTGCTTATGACGGTCAACGCGGGTGGGAGTGTGAACAGCTCGAACGTCGCGTCGATCACTTTCACGGAGTCTGATACGGCGGATATCATCATCAACAACATGGACACTGGTATTGACCATCCTTACCACTGTAAGTCCCAGCCCAAGTATTTACTTTTATCAGAGTCTGATTTACCTTGGTTGCAGTGCACGGAATGACCTTCTGGATCGTCGGCGAAGGCTCTGGCCTGCTCACCCTCGAGAACGCCCAGACGTTGACTTACAATACCACGAACCCGATCCGCCGGGACACGCACGTTATCCCTGCCAACTCGTGGGCTGTGCTCCGCTTTGAGGCTACCAACCCCGGCGTGTGGTGTAAGTTCAAACTCCAACACTCAGCTCGAGCCAAACACTGATTCACTGCACATAGTCATGCATTGCCACATCGACTGGCATCTCGCACACGGTTTCGCCGCCGTTGTCGTCGTCCAGCCCGATGCTATTGCTGCCATGACCATCCCATCTAGCGCGACTGACGTAAGCCCGCATACATCCAACTTCCAGTTCTCCTAACTCACAGAGCTTGGCTTAATAGATGTGTGCCGAGATCCCTGCTGGCTTGACTTCGGACTCGACCTCTCTAGGCCGTCGCTCCCTCCCTGCGGTTGACAGGTCTGCGATGCTCACTGGTCCGGCGTTTGGTCGCAAGCGCCAGGTTCAGTACGCCTAAAGTCGGCGAAGTATAAGTCGTAGCGAGTATGTGTAGTTGTAGCATTGCTCAATTTTTTGGATTCAAATCTTTTCCGCTCTTTGTTTTTTTTGTCTGTGTCTGGGCTGTTGTTTTCAAGCTGCTGAAACATATGTCTTTCTGTCTTTTCTTCCAACACGTTTGCACGTTGTTTCCTGCTGCATCCTTCTTTCAAGTTTTCTCATTCTTTACAATTGGACGCTCTTTTTGTGTTTGAACTACCGTTGCTAGCGTACCTTCTAGTAACTGAAATTCAAGTTCGTTTATCGGTTTATCCCAGTGTACTCGCCGGACTAAGCAGCTATGACTCAATACAGTAGACGACGTTCGAAACAAATCTTGGAAAGCAGCGCATGCTCTACAGCAACATGAAGTTTGACTCAGCAACAATGACAAGGCCCGCCAGCACCCCACCTCCACGACGGTCTACACTAAGCCGCGCTGGTTCTCTTTCGTGAGTAAGCAGTGAGAGCTCATGTTCATGCCGCAGGTATCTGCCGCGAAGTGCGGCACGCTGGCGTGGCAGGTACCATTCTGAAGGGCTTGTTGGCAAGCGCCGCGGCTTACATGGGCGTCTCGGGGTGTTGAACGCGCGTACTCCTGCCGTAGACCAAAATGGTGTTATGCTGTATCAAATTCCATCTAGCTTGGACTTGTTTTGCTAGTGTGGAGGTCATGAGCAGCGCGCATATATAGAGTCAATGATAGCCATGTATTCCCCCAGATCATATACACCCATCTTTCTAAACTCGCAAATGTCTACTCAACCTTGGAAGTGCGCGCTCGTCACCGGCGGTGGTGGAGGTATTTTCTTTTCTTTTCTTTACCCTCGTCATCATTGACTCGGGCTCGCGCAGGCCTTGGTAAAGCCTTTGCCCAATCTCTCATCAAGCGGGGGAAGAAGGTTTACATCGCCGGCCGCACCGAGTCAAACCTCTTGGCCACTGCAAAGGAGATCGGCGCTGCTGGCTACTTTGTCGTCGACCTCGGCAACCTTGCATCTCTGCCGGCCTTTGTTGAGAAAGTCACTAAAGAGGCTCCTGAGGTCGATTGTTTACTCAACAACGCAGGTGTTCAGGTTAGAAAATCTCATTTTTGAATGACCGAGATACCCTGTTGACATACGTAATACCAGAATCCCCTTAACTTGCTTAACGGAGTAGACTTGAAAATTCTGGATCAGGAAATTGATATCAATGTCAAGGGACCGGTATGTCTCCCTCGTTCTCAGTAACGTCTGTTGTTTAATTCGTAGTTTTAGGTCCATCTTAGTGTCTTGTTTATCCCGCACTTGAAGCAGAAAGAGCACGCGTCCATCATGAACGTCACGTCTGGCCTCTCTCAGGTTCCTGTTGCCCACATCCCGATATACTGCGCCAGCAAGGTAAGCTGAAATATTCCCTTTTAACAAGTAGGGGCCCCATTGACAAGCGATACATGACAGGCGTTCGTTCAGAGTTTTACGCTTTCACTACGCGAACAGCTTCGTCCAACAAACATCACTGTCATTGAGATTTCTCCGCCCCTAGTTGAGAGCGACCTCCACCGTAATCATCCCAAGGAACAATTCGAAGCGGCGCTGTAAGTAGTCACCACGCATCTCATCACTTTGCATGAACCTAATCGATGTTACTATTGGGTATACAGAAACTCCGGAAGGGTTGTCCAGCTCAGCCAGAAGGAATGGATGGCTGCTGTCGAGAAAGGATGGGACGAGGGAAAGGAAGAAATTGGGCTCGGACTCGGGCAGTTCGTGGTAGATAAGTGGCGCGAGAGTTTTGGGGGTATTCATGCTCAAATGAATAGCCATTGAGCTGAGAGCAGGGACATGTAAGCTCGCGAATATTGTACATTAGCCAAGAATACAGGTTAGATTTGTGTCTACAAGCGCATAGGCCAGGGTTGCCGAATGTATGCAGTGATCGAACCGTCACAGGTAAAAAGTTGGGCAAGCGCGTTTCAGCACAATTATCGAAAATCTTAGGAGTAATCGTACAAATAAATAATGCCTGACCGCTGGTCACCCATATCTTTCTCAAGTTGTAGCACCGCTGCTCGGAGCTGGATGCAAGCAGGCTCACGCCTTCAGGGCAGTGCATATATCCCAATAATCTTTTTGGCGGCTTGAAAGAACAAATATCCATGTACAAAGCATTTGGCTTCAACGGTACATACAACATTCCAAGAACTTATTGCTACGTCCAAGTCCGTACTTGTTTGTACAAATACATTCGCTCTCAGGAAGTCTTCTAGTTGTAGCCTCCCCAAGGGAAGAAGATAGGAACCGTCCTGGTGCATGAAATGTCAGACTGACAATGACAATAGAAAACAGTAGCAGCTCACTTCTTGTATTGCTTCCACTTAGGATCGCTTCCGTATTTCTTGTCACCGGATTTCTGTGTGAGTCGTCAGTAAATTTTACCCAGATCCAGTAATGTAAAACCGTACCTCGAGAGGAGGAACACCCGAAACCTAACATAAAACTTAGTCAGTAAACAGACCTAGGCGACAAATATAAAACAAAACGATGGACAAGCCCGAATTCGAATCGAGGACCTCTCGCAGGCCGTCAAGCCATATGCTGGCTAGCTGCTAAGCGAGCGCGCTACCAACTGCGCTACATGCCCGTGTTTCCCAAAGCGGATCATACCCTTCCGAGAAGCATGTGTGCACGTGCACTCCTCCGGATATGGTAAATAAAATCCAAGACTTACCTTTCTCAATAGGAACCAGGTGAACATCGGGCTAATGACAGCTACGAGCGGGGCGAACTTGGGAAGTAGCGGGGAGGACAGTGCGGTAGTGGAAAGTAGCCAAATTCCGGTTTGAATGCCGACCTCGCCTGCGTAGCTGAAAGTTCGGAGCTGGTTAGTCCCTGGGTGCAATCTTGAGTGACGGGAAAGCTCACTTGGGGTGACGACTGATGCTCCAAAGACCAGAGGTGATGAATTTCTCATCGTGTGCTTTGGCGTTCTTTTTGGCACGCCAGTTGGACTTCTGACGATCTGCAATGGCCTGCAATGCAAGTGATATTTAGGACACGACTGGCTCTATCTGTGGCGATTGCTTACCTCAAACGCTAGGGAGGCAACAAACACTGATAGACCAACATAATCCCGTGGTCCGAGAGGTGCTTGCTTTGTGACTGGCAAGATGTTTCCCTGGTTGAAATGATTTAGTTAGTGGCATTCGGTTGAGAAATGGCATAACTTACGAGGTATACAGGAAGTCCAACAATAGATACCCATAAAGCTTGGCCGAACCAGAACCCAGTAAACCTGCCAGGTTGTTTCTTGATCTCGTCAAATCGGGAGTCTCCTCCTGCCTTCCAAGCACGCTGCAAATGAATGTTAGTACTTTAATATAGATACCGAGGCAAGATTTAAACCTACTTGTGCAAGGAAGGTTCCCAAACGGCCAGACCACAGGCACAAGCATCCAGTCAAGAGAAGCTGACGAGGAGCAAAGCTGGCGATATGAGGAAGCGCAGCCCCAGGAAGTTTGTACCAGAACTTATCACGCAGGGACGGGTAATAAAGAGACATCCCTGCGCCAGTAAGAAATCCGACAGCTCCACACAAGTCGTAAAATGTCTCGTTTTGCGTTGGGACGAAGACCGATGCGAATGCCGCTTGAAGGGCGAAGTTGCCTGCAATAATAGGCACAAGTTTCGAAAGCACGGCCATAGTGGAGGGTAAAGACTTTGGGAGCTTGTCGACGTGGGGAGAGAGATTCGATACGTGGATTTTGGAGAGCGTGACTCTAGTTATAGGATTATGGTTTGCTTCGAGTGACGTATAGCATGGATGCCGATGTGACGCCCCTGTCGAGGATCAGAGTTCTTGGTCCTCATGATCGAGACTCGATGATCGGCGGTGAGACAAGTATCAAGACATAGAGCAAGATACATTTCAAAGACACATTGTTTTGAACCGGAGCAGACGTTGTCAAAGGTGAGCCTGGGTAAGTTTGTCGTTACTATAATTGTACCTAAAAACATCACGTGAAACAACCTCTTTGCTGTCACCGAACTTCAACTCGACCACCATGAGCCATCCAGCCAACTTTTCGATACTTGCGCCGACTCGGATCCGACACCTAGAGCAGGGAAGGGGCACGACTGACGGGCTGGTCACCCAAAGCGCACGACGTCTAGTTGAACAAGCACGCACAAATCGACCCAGGGGTGACAGCAGGACGAAGTGGCTACAGCCGTCCATCAAGCTACCTATTACAGGTTATTTCTAAACACCTCTCTACAGAGGCCTTTGACTTATGCTAGTACCAGAGCAGATATATTCTCCTCGTCCGCTTACACTCTTCGACATCCACCTCCCAGCAAACGAACACTGTTACGAACCCTATCTCCAGTCTCCCCCTCGGACTCTTTGTCATTGCTAGACTGGGGAACATCGCCCAATGGAATCGAATCTCTAGGTCTTGCTGGGCTCGATGAGTTTGTTTCTGGTATCGATTGGTCTATGACTAGCCGGCCTGTGGGACGACAATTACTTGCAAAACGACGACGTTCGATAGGAGAACATGTAGAGAACCCGGCAGAATCTAGCTCAACAAAACGACCTCGCCTTCCACCTACAGTCTTGGCTTCTTTCCAAAGGTCTGACGCCAGTACCTCAACACCAGCTGCCCCTTCCCCACTCCTAACAAACGCCTCCCTCAAACCAAAAGGCACTACGACACGGCACGGATCTGTACGACTGCGACTAGGCTTACAAAAACGTCCAAACACGAGCTCCCGACCAGCTCCCGAGCAATCCTCCGACGAATCTTATGATGTGTCAGTTCACGTTCGAATGACTCCTAGACGTAAACTCGGAGCTGGGCCTTCGCGAATACTAGCCGCTGAAACAACTGAAAGGACGGATCCTGAAAGCTCAGCACTTGCATTTAATCTTCAACTACCTGCTGTGACGCTACCGAATAAGGGAGACAAATTTCACCTTCAGTTTCCCGTCGAATTTGCGGCTCCTGGTCCCTCTCGGAATGCTCAGTCGGCCAGGTCATTGCTGCTGGGCCAATCAACTCCGGAGTCTACTGCCCCAAGGGGCGTGGTACTCGTACCATCATCCCCATCTCCTATGACTGGCAGGATTTCAGACATACCCGCTACGTCTTTGCGGAACGACAGCTCATGGATTGACAGTCGTGTATCTGCCTCCGTATTATATGATTCCAGCGAAGGATCCCAGTCGCTCCCATTGCACGATACTAGCAGTCCAAGGCTGTTTCTTCCGCCTCCTCTGCCTCGTAATCCAACATCAACCTTAGGTCTCAACGACTCTCCTCGAATAAATGACTCTGGGTGCCAAAATCCAGCAACTTCCAACCAGAGCAGTGATGACCCGACCCCCGATGTCTTGGTATCAGCATCCCTATCTCTATCCCTCGAAGAGTCCGGAAGCCAGCTGGCATCGATAGCGGATAGTCGTATAAATGAATCACCAAGTGAGCGCCCTCGGTAGTTTTACATGAATGCCACAACTAACCTGTTCAGACTTACCAGCCTCCGCACATACCACACGGTACGACGCCTCAAGACAAGCTTCCAGTCGAATGGTAACATCTGTGATGTATGCCTCTAGCCAAGAGCTGCCCGACTCGCAACAATCCGTGGCGACTCAAGACGAAAATGGCTCAGCCTCCTGGAACCTTTCGCACCTCATATCTGGCAATCTGAATGCTCCACCGACCGCATTTATCCCGCCGTCATTGCCTCCGTCAAAACAGCCTCAGCCTAGCCGCACCCGTTTTTCTCCGTCGCAAATCTCCGGTGGCTCAGAAAGTCCAGATTCCATACTAGGTTAGCCCCCGCCCTAAATGACACCGCGTCGTGCCACAAGCTCACCAGCACCTAGATAATTTAGATCCACCCAGCCCTAGGGATGGAGATCTCACCGGTCTTGAGCTCATATCTGCCTTGTACAACTCGAGCCAAGACGCGCACGTAACGGGGTTGCAACAGACTCCTCTAGCACATTCATCGCCACCGGGCCACGCCGAAGCGAACGAGAATACAGCGACACCAGTCCCGTCATGGAGTTCGCAGTCAACTTCTAGTCTACGAGAGCCGCGGGCGTTGAGTGGCGCTCGGCCGACGAGTTCTTGGAGCCCTAGGACTATTGAAAACGCGTCTCCAGACGATCTTATCGCCGCTTCGCGTTCGCTCTCGCTAGAAGATTTTGAACACCAAGTCCACCCTCCCCCTAAAAACTTGACGTCAACTTCTCGCCACCATGCAGTTCAGAGGTCGGCCCTGACCGAGTCTCCAAGCAGACAAGCGCGACGACCGGGCCCCGGGCCCGCCTTTACCGCAAAAAAGGCAATCAGCCCCGCGATTCGTTCGGGAGAGCCGGGCTTAGTTCAGCACGTTAGCACCCAGGACTCGATTTCCGATGCACGTTCTTCGACACCCAAATTGTTGTCAAGGGAGAAAAATGTACACGACGACTCTATCGAGTCGATCGACTCTCCACAGCCTCGGCGAAATGTATCTGTCGGGTTGAAAGCGCTGCCTGCTTTTCGACTTCCTAGAACTGGAGCCAAAGCTCAACCCGAGGATGATGATGATGATGAAATTTCGCTTGACTCGGAGCCGGTTTTGCGTATGCCGGTCAGGTCGTCTTCCATGATCGTACCTCCTACGCATACACACCATGGGAATCCCGTGCCTGCGTTTGCCACCAGACACAAAAGCGACCCTAAATTTCGCGTTCCTCCTGATGTAATGCAGGCACCTGCTTTGCGATCTCCCGTGGGCAGCAGGCTCGGAACGGACATCACACCAGCTGAGAAGCCGATCGCGCCGCTTTCGCACATCCCCCGCAGCTTCCCCCCGCCTCATTCCGCACTAGACGCGCTTCCCAGCTTACCTCCTCAACACCCTACCCGAGCCAGTAAAACATGCAAGGGCCACCTGCACAGCATGATCGCGCAGCCGCATTTGTTCCCCTCACTCGCGTGTCCCCCGCCCTCCCTAACGGAAGGAATGCTCGCCTCGCTCGAAGCGCCGCATTTCCAAACTTGGCTCCAGGAGGACGGGACGCCTGCGCCAGACCAAGCTGCGGCGGCAGAGCGATTTACAAGCGACGCGTGGAGCCGCGCTGCGTGGATCGTTCCTGTGCGCGGGCGAGCGCCTTGGGAGGGATGTTCTGCCGCGGTAGTCTCTTTACGGCCGATCGTAGAGTTGAAGAAGCGGGTTGTGGTTTGGACGCCGGCTGCGCTGAGGTCTTTGTGGAAGCAGTTGATAGGGTTTCGCGAGTCGCAGCGTCTTGGGCCGCTTTCGATGTCGTTTGAGCCTGAGGCTGAAGAGCTCGCGGAGGAGATTTCGGAGCCGAAGGGATCGCAGGCGTTTGAGTTCATAAAGATTTACCACGATGCTAGGGTGTCGCTGAAGCTACGGACAATACTGAAGGTGCTAGAGATGGTGGACGAGGATGGGTACGGTGTTGATGCGAGTGTTCCGGCGGAGGATGAGAGGGAAGCGAGTACACTGAAGAGACGATTGCTGGGCTCGTCTGTGCGCCTTGCTTTAGTAGATGAGACTGGCCGTGTTGTACTTATTTCTTGAGATACAATCAACTAATTTGCTGTATCCTGCAACGATGAA